TTTTTTTTTTTTTTTGTTAGTTCGTTTTCTTGAGACTGGGCTTCTCTGTGTAGCCCTGGCTGTCCTGGAACTCACTCTGTAGACCAGACTGGCCTCGAACTCAGAAATCTGCCTGCCTCTGCCTCCCAAGTGCTGGGATTAAAGGCTGTGCCACCACTGCCTGGCTAGGGAGAAGTTCTTGTCCATTTTAATATTGTTTCATTCCTGATAATCAGTATTTTTATAATTATCATTTGTATAGTGACCTTTAAGCCTGGCTGGGTGACAGTTTGGACAGCTACCCTCAGGAAGATGTACATTGTCCTTAACCTCTAATTTCTTTTTTTTTTTGGTTTTTTTCGAGACAGGGTTTCTCTGAGTAGCCCTGGCTGTCCTGGAACTCACTCTGTAGACCAGGCTAGCCTCGAACTCTCAAACTCAGAAATCCGCCTGCCTCTGCCTCCCAAGTGCTGGGATTAAAGGCGTGCGCCACCACCGCCCGGCCAACCTCTAATTTCTTAGGTTCTTGTTAAACAGAACTTAAAGAATAGGGGAATTTTTCAACTACAAACTATTTTTAGAGTAAGACATCTAAAGGCTGTCATTTTCTGAGTTTGGTGGTCTTCATGTTTTCTGTTGATGCATGAGGATAGGATTTAGTTCTCACAGCAGGGCAGGACTGCTTGGGCTGTGGTAGGGTCCCCAGCGGCTTGAGGTGTCAGTGTCAGGTAGCTCTCCTGATTATGGAGAAAAGGATCTGGGCAGTTAATTATCTGCTTGGACCCTCTGAGATGCTAGAGTTCCTGAGGGATTTTGAGGAAAATTATGTTGTTGTTTTTTTATGTCCTTAATTTATTGCTTAGAATGTAGGTCATTGAAGATAACACCTTGGAAATCTGTTGTCTTGCCCTTTATTTTAAAAAACAAAACTAAGGAATTTGAGACTACTTAGTTTTAATGAAGTCACTATCTTTATGAGGGCATACACTTTCAAAATTTTGTTTTCTTGGTTTGGGGTTTTTTTATTTTTATGCTTTAAATATTTAAATGTGATTTACCAAGGTTCTAAATTCTTTGTAGCTTATGCAGTGAAATACTACCTGACAGTTCTGGGTACACAGATTGGTGGAGCCCAGACTTGGTAGAGCCAGTACCTCCCTAAGAGCACATTAGTGAAAATACATCTGCACTTAATTTTTTTTGTTTTGTTTTGGTTTTTTTTTTGTTTGTTTTTTGAGACACAGTTTCTCTGTGTAGCTGTGGCTGTCCTGAAACTCACTCTGTAGACCAGGCTGGCCTCGAACTCAGAAATCCACCTGCCTCTGCCTCCCAAGTGCTGGGATTAAAGGTGTGCGCCACTCTGCCCGGCTGCACTTAATTTATCAGTCAATCAATAAGCATATATCTTATTCATGGACACATATTAAGAATCTCTTCCTTAGAAGATGCCTATATACCTAAATTTTGTACAGATAAAAAGTTAACACCTGAAACGTATCCAGTACAAACTTTTTCATCTGCAGCTTATTTCATCACCATCTGTGAAAAGCATTCAGGTTATATAAAGCCTTGGCATTCAGTGACATGCCAGTCAATAAGTCCTGTAGAACCTGGAGTTTGCACACTTAGTTATAAGAACCTTGCAAATGCTCAGGCTTGACTGTTTTCTATCAACAAGAATCTTAGCAAAACAATAGCCATCTAATGAAGGTTCTTTAGTTGTACAAAGCCAAGTTGTACAAGCAAGCACAGCCAGCCCATACCTCTTTATGTAACAAGAGTTAAGACTCAGCGTAGCCCATGTATGACTAGCTGGGCTGAAATGAACTGTGAGAGAGAAGAGCATGCTATATTTTGAAATGGGTCATTCTTAAATATAAAGAAATAGCTAAGGGAAAAGTTGATTTAGACCTTATATTCCCGAGGAGATTTGTATTTTCTCTTGTTTATAGAGAATAAAGAAAGTGTGGGTAATGGTCGTAATGGTACCTTCTAAAATTAAGAAGAAAAGGAACAGGTTTTGAGGAGCAAAGGAAATAGAAATGTTACCACAAGATTACTAGGGGAATTTATCCAAAAGTGTAAAAGGGATCTTTGGAAATTTGTTCTTTGTCATTATTTTAGTTCAGACTAATTGTGGTACTTTGGTTTGTTATGAACTTTAGTACTATTGTGGAACAATTAATAAATAACTCTTCAGACAGCTGTGGTGAACTTCTGTTTACATTCCTGATCTAGAAAAAGACACTAACCTTTGTGTTTATATATTCAGTCTGTTCTTTGGTAACTCATGACACAACTTCCATTGGTTAGTAAGAATTTTAAAGTAACTTCTTTTTGCCAGGTCAGTCAAAAGTATTGATTATATATGACCAAATAAATATGCATAGAATTTAAGAATTAAGATTACAAACTTTTAATCCACATTACTACCCACCAAAAAAGCAGTTTACAACTATGATGTATAAAGGCATAATACATTATGACAATGGTTTTGAGTGGTTACAAAAACTTGTAATGCCTTAATTATTTTAGTTTTGTCTCGAAAAATGTTTTAAATTTTAAGTTGTGCCTAGTTCATTTGTGTATTTCACTGTTTACTTTGTGGTACTGGACATTGAACCAGGGTCTAGCCCTGAAGTTGGCAAATGCTCTACCAATGACCTATATCGCCAGGTACATTCTACTATTTTTTTTAAAGTGTCATATAATAATTATTCATTGGAAAACCAAAGTTTAAAATGGGATCTAAAAAGCTGGGCATAGTAGGTCACACCTTTAATCCCACTAGTCAGGAAGTAGAGGAAAGTGGATCTTTGTGAGTTTGAGGCTAGCCTGGTCTACATTGTGCATTCCAAGACAGCCATAGTGAGACTTTCTCAAAGGAAGAAAAACGGTTTTGCACGAATGCATTGTTGAAAGTGTCAAAAGTGTTATTTTCAGGCTTAAACTTTAGACCAGATTGCAAAACTAAGATCAGCAGCAGCACTCTTTTGTTTGGTCATGTGAAGACTTGCCATGAGCAAGCATTTCAGAGTTCCTTTTTCACAGCTTGTGGGAACTGCACATAGGTGTCATTGTGGGTCCCCATGAATAGGCAGCTGATTGGTTTATGAATTGAGCTGGAAAGCCTTTCTAAGGATCTTAGTGTCCCACTTAAGTGACCCAGAACGACTGAATGCAGGGTGTGGGTTAGAGGACTGGAGAAGTCTTCAGTGCATAGCAGCTTTAACTGCTCTTCACATCGGTTTCTATGTCTAGTCTTAAGTCGTCCAGCAAGGCATGATAGCTCGTGCTTGTGTCTTAAAATTGAGTTAGGAAAGAGTATTGTTTGTAAGAAATTTTAGTTTTTAGATTTGGGGGGATAGCTGCATGAATTCTTTAAGTATGGAATTATCTCAAATCCCACTTAGCGCACGTCTTCCTCAGCCACGTTTGGTGTAGTTGGTTACACGTATTAAAGATTTGTTCTAGAAAATTTGTATAGGGTAATCCAAAGTCATTACATCATAGTATTTTCAATGGTTTTAATCTAAAAATAGGTTATGGCCACACTTAATGTAATACTATTCTGAAATATTAATGTATGATCTTTGGCTACGGCTCACCAAACATTTTTTAAACCTGTTGAGACAGATTTGTCTCAATGTGGCCAGTTAAAAAGGATCCCAGGGAGAAGAATATTAATGGGCTTATTTATTATAGATTCCTTTTAAAACTCCAAGCCTTGAATTAAATTCATTTGGAAGACTGGTAGTAACAGGGAGATGGACTGAGTCACTGCTGATGAATTACAGGTGGGCTGTTTAAAGATT